AACAGAAAGATAAAAGTTAATACAGAAATAAACATGATTGAGGTTTCTTTTGAATTGCAATGAATCTGATAAGGCCAATGGTTAGATGCGCTAAAGGCTATCAGTACATCCTGGTGGTTATGGACTATGGTACCCAATATCCCAAGGCTGTTTCTTAAGGATGCACAAATTATTGCTAAAGAGTTGTTCCACAAGGCCCTCTCAAAGAAAGTCCCAATGGACCAAAGAAATTACCTTTCTGCCCAAAGGGTATGAGTTGTGCACATTCTTAAACATTAAAGATAAAAGTTAATACAGAAATAAACATGATTGAGGTTTCTTTTGAATTGCAATGAATCTGATAAGGCCAATGGTTAGATGCGCTAAAGGCTATCAGTACATCCTGGTGGTTATGGACTATGGTACCCAATATCCCAAGGCTGTTCCTTAAGGACACAAAAACTATTGCTAAAGAGTTGTTCCACATAGGCATCTCAAAGGAAGTCCCAATAGACCAAAGGAACTCCCTTTCTGCCCAAGGGGTAAGAGTTGTGCACATTTTTGAACATTAAACCGTTACAGTCTGCAAGCCTCAAACAGATGAGTTGAGCAGAAGTCAATACAACCCTCAAAAGTATGCTAACGAAGGTGGTGGACAAAGAGGCAAGAGTTTGGGATTGCATATTACCTTATCTGTCTTACAGTCTTCCACAGAAATTTCACACTTTGAGCTGTTGTATAGGTGGCAACGCTGAGGGTTTTAGATATTGCGAAGGAAACCTGGGAGAGTGAGACTAATATGGTAGAGCATATCTCAACAGTGTAAAACTGAATAGATTTCAGTCTGTGCAGCAGTAAGTAGGGGGTTATGCACTGGCCACACACTTTCCCCGACCCGAAGTGAAATGAGCCGAACATCGTACACCGACTAAAATCAGCCATACATCGGCTTGCTGTGGCTGGCTTTGGGCCGGCCAAACATGCTCAGCATGTTCGGCCGACCCGAAGTGCAGAAGGAGTTCGACTCAGCCGATCCAACATCTGGATCGGCTGAGCCGAACCTCCGGCAGGCTACTCGCTGCTCTTCGGCCTATTCTCATAGATGCCGAACAGCAGTGAGTGAATAGTACCTCCGAAGCAGAATAGAAAAACAGTTAAAAAAGTAGAAAAAATTAAATAGAAAAAACGATTGGGCGGAGCTAGCAGTGACAGCTAGCTCGGCCCAACTGTTTACTATTTGCCGGGCGGTTCTGCTGCTGTCAGAATAAAAAAAAAAACACCATAGGAATGCATAGCTAGATTCCTATTGGCTATTTCACTTTGCAATAGCCAATAGCAAGCTAGCTATTGCTCCCGCCCTCTTCTGCTGTCAATCACTATAAGGGGACCTGATGGAGAACTTCAGGTCCCCTCTGCTGATTGACAGCAGCAGTGGGCGGGTGCAATAGTTAGTTTGCTATTGGCTATTGCAAATTGAAATAGCCAATAGGAATGTAGCTATGCATTCCTATGCTGTTTTTTTTTACTCTGACGGCAGCCCAACGGCTCAGATGTGAAAAGAAAAAAAAGACAACAGAGCAGGGAAAGGTTTACTCTGCTCGATCGAGCAGAGTAAAACTTCCCGGGAGAAAGTGTTTCTGTCCCGGGTGGCCGGGAGCCGCTATCTAATAGCAGGAGACTCCCGGAGCGTCTGGGAGAGTTGGGCTGTCTGGAGATCAGCGTCCCTAGTTACCTGGTAACCAGGGACGCTGATCCGTCTGTGCAAGTGGCCGGAGCCAGCCGTGAGAAGACGCTCCGCCCAGCACTCAGTAGAAGGCTGTCGGCCGGCCGATGCCCGGCCTTTCAGCCAGCTTCGGCTTTCACCTCGGCTCAGTCGAGTCAAGCATATGCCTTCGGCTCGACAGAGCCCCTCGGCCAACTTCGGGAGTTGTGCGGGCTATAGCGAATAGCCCGTACAGGAGCCCTTCGGTTCTACTGAACCAAAGGGGTCCTGGGGTCGAAGCTAGCCGAAGGATCAGCCAAAGCTACGGCTAGATCCTTCAGCAGCTTTGTGAATAGACCCCTAAGTCTTCTTTGGAAAGAGCAGTGTGGTGTGTGTGAGAGAGAGAATGCTGTGCTGGAATAACCTGACCCTAAGGGCTAGTGTTGTGCTAAACTCACAAGATCTGTGTTTTTAGCACAAGCTATCGTGAAACACACGGTAACACACACTAGATGTGCTTGTGCATTGCCAGTTATTCTAAATGCCACCCTAATGCATATCCAATTGGGTATGCATTTGAGCGAGTGGTACACCAATAACTTGTGTTGTGGTAATTTTAGTAATGGAGGCATAACTTTTTATCACTGTATGGCAATACAACGCACATTGTGGCAGTACCACATGTTGTGCGGTGCTGCAGTGCATGCTCAACAGGAATGTGCATTTGGGTGCCATTTAGAATGAATGGCAATGCAATACACCAGTGTGTTTAGCACAACTCTGTGCTTTGAAATGGCCCTAAATGTCCCATAACTAGATAGGAGGCTGAATGCTTTGTTGTGAACTGCACTGTGCTGATATAGACACCTGAAAGAGAAACTCTTTTGCTTTGTGTTTGATGCAACTGTACTGAATACACGCAGACAGGAAGGGCGTAAACACATTTTGGCCTCTATACTACTACTCTGTGAGCTCTATGTTTGAAGCTAACCCCTACAACATGTAACAATAAATAATAGGGGTGAAACTATGTCAGTCAGCTGGTACCTTAACTAAAGAAATACATATCCTATAAGCAAAGAATAAACTGAAGTATGTGTCTTTGAAAATTATTCTCAAGGGGGAGCCACATATTCATATACCCGAAAAGAAACAGGACCAATA